CGTGCTCAATTCTGATTGGCTGTGACGTACCCCCCTGTACATGGTGACGTATAAAATTTTTATGTTTGTAATATTTATATAATTTAATGTGTCTCATTAATTGCCTATGTTTGCTAACTTGGAAGTAGCGAATTTGAGTTCCTGAACATTATTCATAACATTATAAATCATATATATGAATTAAGAGTTAATGTTCTATTAGGAATTAAATTTTTAATAAAAGCAGAGTTTTTTATTAATGTAAATAAACATTTTTTAAAAACAAGGAATGTTCAATGAAGTAGACTATATATAATACTGTTTAGTAGTTCATAGCATTGAAAAATTATGTTTAAATTCACTAAATGAGGAAACTGTAAATGCTCTTTATTAATATGTATGTGCAATGCTCTAGAAATGTCAATGGATAGGAAATTAATATATCATTTATATAAGGTTATTTTATAACGAATAAAATTAGCAGTTATTATTCTACATGTTTTTTATTAATTTTATTATTCAATATACTATTAATTTATTTGAAAGGACAATTAATAAATTAATCATCTTTAATAAAAAAATTTATTTGAAGATACAGCTCCTGGCTCTTTCTTTTCAACTGATTTAATAATACCTACGGCAATAGTTTGTCTCATATCACGAATAGCAAATCTACCTAATGGTGGATATTCTGTAAATGTTTCAACAACCATAGGTTTTTTTGGTTCTAAACTAACTAAAGCTGAGTCTCCAGACTTAATTGCTTTTGGGTTTTCTTCAACTACTTTACCTGAACGTTTATCTATTTTAGAATCAATATTTACGAATTTACATGAGATGTGCGATGTATGACAATCTAAGACTGGCGTATACCCATTTTTAATTTCACCTGGATGATTCAAAATAATAACTTGTGCTGTAAATTTTGCACATCCTTTAGCTGGTTCATTCTTTGTATCTGAAGCTACATATCCTCTTTTAATTTCTTTGACAGATACGTTTTTAACATTAAAACCAATATTATCACCTGGTCTTGCCTCTTCTAAAACTTCTTTGTGCATTTCAACTGATTTACACTCAGAAACAACTGCTGATGGAGCAAAATTCAAAACCATTCCAGCTTTTAATATACCTGTTTCAACACGACCTACAGGTACTGTACCTATACCTCCAATCTTGTAAACACCTTGAAGTGGAATTCTTAATGGTTTATCATATGCTTATAAAATATGTATGATATTTGTAAAATGTTTATTTAAAGAAAAATTAAGTTTGCATCTTTTTTTAAGTTTTTATTATAATCTATTGTAGTTATTTTTTTTATATAGTTTTATAAAAACTATTGAGAGATGTGATCAAAACTATGAGACATAAAAAATATCATTAATTTATTGTGAATAAATAATTATATAAGGGGTATATAATTATCTACTTAATTGTATCATAAATGAAATAAGTAGAGATCTCTCTACACTCTCCTTATTAATTTGATATTTTAAAGTACTATAAAAGTCTTTGAACAGTCAATAAAACAATATCTTACGTTTTTTCTATTATTATTAATCTCTTTAATGCATATCATACAATTTTTATAATTTAATAATGTATATAATTATCATAAAATATTATCTTTATAAAGATTATTATAATTAATAACAATTTTCTGTTGTTTACATTTGAATCACTATAAAACACCATATTTATTTTTATACACGTGAATTTTACAAGAATAATTTTATTACTCAAATGAAAACTTTCTTTAATTACTAATATACAATTATATTATTATTTTGATTAATATTATACATACTATTAATATTGTTATTATACTTATCCTTATATGAATATTTTTTTTTAGAGGGGAAATATAACAAGTTTAGAATATTTTTATATAATATTTTGTATAATACCACTTGTGACAATATTAAAATATTTAATATAATTATGCTTCTATTAGACTTTGTGGTAATTTTTTTTATTTTTTTTGCTTTTAAATCATTATCATTTCTTTTTTATTTAATATTTTATTATTTTAATTAGTTCATTTGCATTATTTATTATTACTGTTATTCTCAATAGTATTTGTTTTTTATTATGAAATGCTTTTCATTATTTATTATATGCAACCAATCAACAAAATTCTAATAATTAATTAATAGCATAAAATTATATATATACATGAAAAAAAAAAAAAAAGTAAATATCAGTGAATAAAAATAAGAAAATTTTAAATAGTATTTTTTTCGTTTGTTTTCTTTTTTCTTTTTATTATAATATATACAGTGTTTCTAAGATAAAATTTTTTTTTCAGCAAATATAATTAAGATTTATAAGTTTATCTAAACTAATTTGTAATATCATACTTATTTAGTTAATGCATATATATATCACATTTGTTCTTAGAAAGAATAAAGAAAAAGGGGATATCACTTTAAAAATTGTATATATTTTGTATAAGAATGTATTGTATAATATGAATACTATTATTATAATTATTTATATTCATAATTTTGATACAAAGTATAGTACCTACGGAAAATTTTATTATTATAAATTTATGAGAAAATTATTATAAATATATATATATGCATACATATTTATATTTTTAAATATAAATATGAAGAAAAAATAAAGGTATAAGATAAATAAATATACACTATTTATCTCATAATTTTTAAAACATGAATTTATTATCTATACTTATTTTTTTTTTAAATATAATATTCTTAATATTTTAGAAATTAAATACATAGATTATTCTATGAGAATATTTATTAAAAATAGTGAAGTGAAAATTAATATTATTTTTTTCATATATCATATTTCAAATAATTCATGTTTCATATATACTGTATTGAATTATAGAATCAGAAAATTACATTTATAAAATATTTATCCTCTAGGAAAGCCTTTTTACAAACTATACGAAGAAATTTTAAGGTTTTCAAAAAGTTTACTTCGAAATATATGTATTTAACATTAGCTTTTTTCTCTTTATTCTAGAGATAATGTAAAAGTTCAAATTTTATATTAAGACAATCATTATTTTAAATTATTATAATTGGAATAAATGTATAAATAAATACTGATGTTTATATAAATCCTTTGAACTTAAATTTTATGTAAAATCAAATAGAATAAAAAGTTAAATATTTACTATATGTGAATATATGTAAATGAAATAATTCTTTTTTTATTGATAAATACATATTAGAAGAAATAAGAATTATATTATACGTGTATTATTTTGAAAGGCTCATATAACAAAACATTACTTATGAAATTATGTTTTTTTTTTTTAATATCATTTATACAAATAAATTTTATATCACATACAAAATTTTATGTATATGTAATACTAAATTCTGCTAGAAAATTGATCAATTCTATTAGTAGTCTAATTTTACAAGATAAATTTAGTAAAATACTTATAAATATAAATGTTACCACAACTTAGACGTTTTAAATGATGAAAAAATGATAAATTATTGATGTTTTTTATGTAGAAAAAAGTTACAAAAAAAGAAAAATTACATACAAGACTCATGAGACACATATCTTAAGTTTTGATAATTTTTAAACATTACAAATTAACTAATATTAAATAATTTAAAAATTATATTTTCTATTTTTACCTTTAAATAATTTAATTTAGTTATATTCATTTTTTTTTTTTTTCTTAAATTTATAATTCCTAAAATAAAATGATAAATGAAATCCTTTATACATATTCATTATAAACTATATGAGGAAAATAAAAATATAAAATTAACTAACCATATTATAGTTAAATAAAAATAAATAGATTTCTATGAACATATATTTACGATTTAAATCTTGAAAAAGAAAGAAATTTTAATATAAAATAATATATTTTTCACGTAAATTTTACTAAATTCACATATTTTTTCGTCAATTGAAATATTTGATGTATTAAGAAATATATTTAAATGATATTTTTAAATTTATGTATGTATTTATTTTATTGAATAATTTTAAATATATGTATGTTTAAAGAAAATAGAAAAATATATAATATGAAAAAATTAAATATAACGCAAACGATTTATATAGTTTTTGTGATTGTTGTACAAACATTTTAGCATTATTTAATTATATATATATAATAATTTAGTTTTGGAAATTTATTATAAATAAAAAAAACTTTGTGTTCTACAATATGAAAAAAAAGCTTTCATTAATCATTAAAATTAATATTAAATATAGAAATTATACTCAAATCTAATAGTAGAAACTAAATATATAATGTTAAAATTAAATAATAAAACAAAAAAAATAAAACATAATTAAAATTAACAAATAAAACAAAATTAAAAATGAATAATAAAGTTAAAAACAAACATAATTATTACAACAAGAATTAATATATATTTAATATTCAAATAAATTTAATACTCAAATTAATGTTAATTTAATGATAAAACAACAAAACATTTATTTTATTTTAGTATATTAATAAAAATTTTTTATTCATTTTATTTTTGGATGATAATAAACAATATATATTAATGTAT